ACTTACTTTTACCTGTGTTTACATAATCCAAATATTTGAATCATTATTTAAATTTTATAAATCTCAAGTTTTTATTTCGAAAGAATAAAACATAAGTGTTCGTGTGTGAGGCGTAATGTGCCTCTAAGTCATCAGAATATTTTGAATAAGTTTGAACAGTGCAGATTTAATTCATTGGCGACGCCGGTGAGCGGCGTCGTCTATTATGGAACGCTTTTTATTTTTGCCTATGGAAGGAGCTGTTATTATTAGCAGTTAATTTCATGTTGTGTAAATTAGTTTTATTTTGATTCGTAAAAATCAAGTAAACAAATGTGTTGTTATATTTGTATTTAATAACTTTATGTAAAAAGCATGTGCATTGTGATATTATTTTCACGAAATTGCGGGTTAAGTTTAACAGCTTGTTTTAATTTGGAGTGCTCAAACTATTATGATCATCAGCATGTGTGCGTAGTTTGTTAGTTTATACAAATTTATTTTAGTTTGTTTGTGTTGGAAGCTATAAGCTTATTGAAACACATGTGAATCTGCTCCTGCTAAAAACCATCCAGTACTAAGCAATTAGTGTAAAGGTTCTTGCTCAAGGATCGAACCCTTGATGGGGTTTGGACCCATGCGGCCAGAATTCCTTAGATTACTAGTTTGATGAGTTAACCAGTTAACCACTATGCCATGCTGCAATTGTGCTGAAAGGGTGGTTGAAGCTGTATGATTCTGTTGCAAGCCTGCTAGATATGAATATGTGAAGTATTTCTGGAAATTATAAAATTTTAAGCCTAGTTTAACATAAGTATAAGACTATCAATAATCAAATCTATTTTCCTTTTAGACCATAATTTGTTTTTGATTTTTTTACTGTGTTATTGTGTTTTGATTGGCGCATAAATACAAATTATATATGATCCTTTGATTTGTATATCTATTTAAGTTTTAAATTTTTGTCACACTTCGCAAACCAAAGGCTTTATAGGTATTTGATAAATTTCTGTTTTTAACTGCAAGTTTTCATTTTGTTTACAGTACAAATTTACTACAACATTAATATGTTGTAAGTTAAAAGTTTGAAAAAAAGTGACATTAAGTTTTACTAATTCGGATATATTCGACTTCGCTACTGACCTTCCATTATACTATAAATAGATTTAATTAGATGGCAAATATCCAAGTCTACTGGTATAGGATGAATACAAAAATTTTACTGCAATAATCTAGTTTTTATATACCCGCTTTCAATATATTTATTTTGTAAGGACAACATTCACAAAGTTAATAAAGTAGGTTTATAATTTCAGTTTTTGAATACATTGGTTAAAGCTACATATGCCTCCAGATTAGCAAAAATTTGTCAAGAAAATCAAACTTGAAAAAACTGTACTAAGATTTTAAGAAAAGTAAAAAAAAATCAAAATTTAAGTAATAGTTTACATGTTATGTGCGATTAATGACTGACTTTGCATTATTAATCTCCATATTTCTACTGCATGACTAATGTTGTATTGTGGCTATTTTTGCATTTTGACCTCTTTTTGGTAACTAATAATATGTAGATTGTTATAAATGACTTACAGTGTTCAGTTCACAATATTTTACTTTTAAATGCATTTTCAAAATTTTCATGAAAATTAGCATGATTCTGGAGGCATGCTGCTTTAAATCTATAATGCTGCACATTAAACTATAATCAATAAAATATTTTAAACTTTGTAAAAAGTTATAATTAATTTGTTTAAGATGGGCTATCTTTATCCCATAATTATACAAAAATTTTTATCAGATAAAGTCAGCTTTATATATAACACCACACAAGTCATGATGTTGTAAGTTTTAATATTTTGTAAAACAGGGATCTTTAATGATATTTATATAATTTGTTTATCACATACCTGAGCTGATTTTGTGACTTAATATAAATGGTATTTGCAAGGATGTGCATTTATTTTGACGTTATAATTATGGTCAAAATGAAAAAACACGCTAAATGTTAGTGTTACACTAAAGTGTCAGTGAAAAATTATTCTTTTGTACTTTAAAAAGTCTTTAGTTTAGGTATGTGATAAATAGAATATTGTATTCATGTAGATTCATTACTGAATTTATTGAACTCATTGAATAAAATAATGTTTTGCTTGCCACAGGCTTGCATAATAAAATTTTATTCAATTCTTTCAATAACTTCAGTATTGAACCTGCACTATTTCAATGTCCTCAATTTATTTTTCCCTGCCGGAGGTGACTGTATAACAAGTTCAGTCCAAGATCACCAGCAAGATAATAGTCTGCACTGTTCCCTATACAATTTGTACATATTTTGAAACATTCCCTAAAATGACAAATGGTATGGTCCAGATTGAAAGATGGACGAGTCCATTTAAGATATTTAGCATTTTTAGGGTAAACGTCATTTAAATGTAACAGCTACAGTGCTTTAAATCATTTCCAGATGCTTGGGTGTCTTAACCAGTAAGTTGCACTGATTCGGATTGTACAAGTCTAAAGTGAATCCAAAATTGAGTCTTCTGATTGGGTTTGAACCCCCTCCCCAGTTTCTGGATTAGAAGCCTGATACTGTACCCCTTTTGCACACTTTCTTCCTGTTGGTGATGTTTTTGAATAGCTTGATTCTTATAATTGTAGCTTTCATTGACAAATGTGCACATGCAGAATAAAACAAATTAAGACTTTTGAAGTCTGCCGGCTTCAACATTTTGTATACACTAAGTCTTCAGATGGAGTCATCTTTGGTTTTCAAATTCCCTTGATGTTTGATTGATATGTGTTTGATAAAAATAAGTTTTTATTGACCATTTACAATGACTTTAAGCGGAATTGAAAAGCTAATTGATCTGACGGATAAAGATCCTTTTATGCCAGACTATAAGTCAATTTAACGTTGACATAGGGAACAACCGTGACTTTCTATAGGAATGTTAGATATCTAACGACAACTTATTAAAAATCGAAGCAAATAAAGCGAAGTTTATCTAAAGATAAAAATAATCACACTTTGCAGTGGTTAGCACTTCAACTAATCATCTTGTATTACTAAATATGTGGGTGCTAACATGCATGATTGAGTAATCCCCCTAATGCATTGATAGATAAAGATTTGATGGCATTTTATTTTTTGTCTCGCCAGTCTGTCGCTGCGGCTAACGGCCAACGTATAATTTGTCCATAGCAATTTTGACTTCTGTAATGTATAGCTATGCACCAAACATATCCCTGTATGGTAATTGGATGTTTTTAAATATGACCTTTTGCCCTTAAATATTTTTGTTTTTAACCTTTAAGGTCACATTTTCAAAATTCAGGAAATTTCACCTTAACTTTCCCCTTGTGGCTGACGTGTTGCCTTTTAGGGTTGAGGCATCAGAATTGCAGCCTATGGAGTCTATGCATCTATAAGCTCTAGCAGGTGAGGTGTTTTGGGCCACTGGTGTTGCTTAAAGTTTGTAACACCAGAGGCTAGTCAAAATCATCTTTCCTGTTCCTGTACCATATGACCTAAAATGTGTTGGTGTGCCGTACAACTTAAAGTTTATTTTTTATTAGCCATTTTGGTACAAGGGCATATTATATGTAAGGAGCACATCATGTTTACTTATTCACTCAAGTATGAAGCACTGAAGCATTGCAATTAACTAACTACATGTTAAGAGTTGAATTTAAATGTGTAATATCATAAACTTATCCTGTATTAATACTTTATATACAGTTTTGACTAAATATAGTACACCAAACTGAAAAAAAAAAACATGTCAAATAATGAGATCACTCTTGGCGGGTGGCCTTTTATCTAGAGCATTTCTTGTACACACATGGTGAGATTTTAGTATTATTCTTCGCCACTATAATCTTGGGCATGAACCAGGTCTCTAAGTCATAGGTCAAGGTTACGCATAGAGGTTACAGGAAAATGCTTGTCCTGTACAGAACTTTTACATGTAGTGTGGAACTTGGCACAAATGGTAAATATTGTGTGGCCGAGTGATTCATACCAAGGTCAAAGGTCAGATAAAAAATATGAAAAGTAAGGTAAATTTTCTAGATGCATAACTCTGTGTAAATGTATTTTAAGTGAGTTACAGCCCTTTGTGAATTCTTCATAATCCAATTTCTTCAGGTGATTGGAGTATAATGCTGTTCTACTGATAGCTTTTGTTGGGTGTGCACCTCTGCACAGTACCCGGGTAATGCAGTTGATACACAGAAAGAATTTAACAAAAATGCATTTTAAGGTTATTAAACTTTGTGTTCATTAAATGTTTACTGTAGAAATTATTGAAGGGATTATAGATATTTAAAAGTCTTTACAAGTTAACCAGATTGTACTGACAGCTAATACCATTCCTTTACTGTGTTTGGTTTATACAAATTTATTTTAGTTCAATTATGTTGGAAGCTATAACTCTCGAATCTGTTCCTTGAACCAACCATACTAAGCATGTAAAGTTTCTTACTCAAGGAAACAATGGCTTGCCTCTGAAAATTTTGAAGCCATGTGGTCAGCAATCTTAGATTATTTAAGTCCGTTTACTGTGTTTGTAAGAGATTCAGTAGTAAATAAAGTTAAAAAAGAAATAGTCAAAATTCTTTCATTCAGCATCAGTAATAATTTTCATGCAGAACTTTAAAAAAGAATCTTGCATATATTTTGATGTGATGTCATTTTGCGTTATACAAAGTGCAAAGACCCGCTAAATGAAAATTGATTCTTTTTCACGTTAAACAGTTTTTTTTGGTGTATGTGATAAAAAGAATATTATATACCTGTAGGTTCATAACTGAATTTATTGAACTTGTTGAATAAGTAATATTTTCCTCGCCAGAGGCTAGCATAATATAATTTTATTCAACTTGTTCAATAAATTCAGTATTGAACCTTCACAAATATAATACACTCATTTAGTATCCTCTATATATATTGTATATTTCAAAATAGGTTTTATAATAAATATATGTATAAATACATATTGAATTTCTGTTTTCAGAAGATGAGCTGGTGATCTACATATATTGTATGCCAAGCTGCGGTATTAGAAAATTTGTATTATAACACAACAAATAAAAGCGACAGAGATATTTCAGACCAATATTGAGCACTTTTTCGAGTCTACATTTCTTGTAAATAGTGAGAGTGTTAGTGGATTGAGGGAGAAATTTGCAGGATTCATTGTGGAAACCAAGAGGTAATATATATTATGTTTCATTATCAAATGCTGTTTGTTTATGTAATAGATCTGTAGAATCTGTAGGCTGTTTGACTTTAAGAGTCTGGGCTTGCATTTCACTGCTGTGGGTTGGTTAATGAACTGTTTATATGTGAAGAATTTATTCATTCAGAAGTCAACAGGTAATATATATTTTGTTACATGATCAAATACTGTTTGTTTATATAATAAATCAGTAGAATCTGTAGGCTGTTTGACTTTAAGAGTCTGGGCTTGCATTTCACTGCTGTGGGTTGGTTAATGAACATTTATATGTGAAGAAGTTGTGTAGCTTAGAACTGCTAGATATGTTTCTACACTTTATTCTTTTAACCATACAAAAATGTGCAGAGACGTATTCCTTAATGACCTAACAGTTGGTCCGCAGTGTCCCTTCCTGTATTCATAGCACAGGGGGTGAACCCATATGGATTTTAAAATTGAGCATCCCTTAAAAAATATAATCACGAAGGGTTTCTTTGAATGTTTAGCATCTTCCGATGGTTAAAGATTTTATAAACACTCTGCATTTTGAGTTTGTTAATACACAATGTAGTAGCATTTTTTTCACACACATATTGCATACTTTGGACACTGCAGAACCCACAACGGAATAATATCTCGACAAACAGTACAAAAATGGGAAAACATCAAGAAAATTAAGTCATAGGGGTAGAATCATACTACAATTTTCTTAAAAAAAGTTTTGAATTTTATATAAATGTATAAAAAGTTGAAATATTATCCTGTGATGACCTATTTTCTTTTTCACATATGGTGTTGTACCGTACGTCTTGGTCAGCGGAAATTCACATATTTTTTTTTACCAATGCTCAATTTTGAGATCCATATGGGGTTCATGCACCTAATCCCCCCCATCCCCACCACCATCATTTGACCCCACTGTGCATAGAGTTGTTTTGAATTTTGATTTTCAATTTAATATAAGTTGAAATTTATTCACCTCAGACACATGCTGTATATTTAAGTTGATCTGAGGTGGCTTGCGTGATCTTGTGAAAATATTTTCTCAAGTTTAATGGTGGTTTATACATTTGGAAACACTTCAGAATCCTTATATTTTCATAATTTAGTGTCATTTAAATTTTATGATAGTTTTATCAGTGACAGGTATTTTAATTTTATATTAAATATGTCTTTTTATATCACTTCTGTAATAAATAAGAATTACAGAGGATAAAAATTATCTCTGTTGGAAGAGTTATGGACTGTAAAATTTATAAAGAACTAAAAATAGTTCTCTTGAATCAAAGCATTTAAAACTTCAACCAAAGTGCCTATCGGTTAGCACAATAGAATTGGGCGACCCCGGTACGATTCATGGACGTCACATGTCACTTTTGTTGTGACTGATCATGAAATCCTTTCTACAGTCATTCGCACTGTACTTAAGTCTGCTCTTGCATGTACAGAAGAAATCAGTTCCTTCCGTAAGTGAAGTGGTAAACTGCTTGATAGCCTGCCCAGGAACGATGCGGTGGCTGAACTGAATATAGTAAATTCAATGTGGCAAGCAATACTGCCGTGATCCAGAGTAAAAACTACCAACACCAACTGCAAGCACTTGAAATGTGGCCTGATGCATAATGAACCCTCTCATATATATATATATATAAATTATCAGGGTAACTGTTTGTGGTGCTTTCACTATGATTATCTGTTTGTACACTGTTGAGAATCGTTAACCGGAACTTGGCAAAAGTGGGTTTTTCCGAGCTAATCCCCCAGTGCAAACTTATACTGTTAAAGCTTTACAGTGCATTACCTTTCACAATAGATAAGTTAACGTCCCACGCACACACCGGATTAGCTGACAAGAAAAAAAAGAATCATTATAACTGTACTGATTGCCAAAATGTTAAATATGCAATAAAAATGACTGGCATTAAATAACGTTTTGGAAAACTGTTACAGGACACACCAAAAATGAAAAAAAGCGTCTGAAATTATGAAAATATTTGCATTTTTTAGGCTTATTGCATGGGCCTTCCACTATCGGTAAAATTATAGAACTTGATAATCTGTCAGTACATGTTTGATTGTTGATATAAGTTATAGTACATAATTTTTTTTAAAAATAATATAAAGTATTTTATAGTGGACAGTATATTGTATTGTGTTTATCAACATTGCCCAGAAAGTTACATAAATAGTAGATATTGTCCAACAATATTGACCTGGCACTTCATTAATTTCCGTAAAGGTCAGGTGATAAACACTGGTATCTAAAAATATATCGATATCTTTGTTAACTCCACACGTCAATGAGGTGTGGTGTATTGGTGTAGATGCCTGACTACTGATCGTTCGATACCTGACCAACACCACGTTATGAGGACATGCATTTTTTTTTCATTTTTAAAATTTACTTGCAAGAATTAATTTGAAATAGGTTTGTAGGATACCTTTTAAGTAGTAGTTTTTATACAATTTTATTGTTTATCTTTCATTACATTATCTTTTATTAATAAAAAGGACAGCATGTTCATAATGCAAATTAAAATACTAGATAGAATACACAACCAAAAATCAAAGCGTTTTGCACGAATTAAGAGAGAAATGGCAATTTTAAAATAAGAAAAAAAATATAAAAGTGGCTGAACCACTGAGGATTCGTACCTACGAGTGTACGTCTATATTCTTCAAGTGAAAGCCCTAAATGACTGTGCTAAGAGGGATTTGTAATTTAGACCATTTAACAACTGGTTATATACATTCTGATTCATATCGATTTACAAATAGGTAGTAACGTTTACGGAATTTACCGACTATGGGGTCAAATGCAAGAGTGCCAGGTCAATGTTGTTGGACAATACATTGTATTTGTATAACATAAACTTGTATTGAATTTAAAGTAGTTGAAATGAACAATATGATCTCCTAGTTTTGTTTATTTATTGCATTCTATAAATATGATATTAGTTGACTGTGTGCCATTTTCGACTGTTATTTTCTGTTCATTTGTTTTTTTAAAACCAGTTACATATTACACATCCCATAATTTTATAAAAACTGAAATTGACAGTTAGTTATTGTGTCTGCTTTACAGAAAAACAGAAATATAATTATATCTATATGCTCAATTTTAATCTGAAGCTAGGGTCCCCTTGTTGTAATGACATCTTTTATCTACTTATCTTTACCTTTTATCAGGGCAAGTGTCAACAATGGATTAATTGTTCCAAAGATGTGAAAGGACAACAAAGATTTGTAATGTAATGAAAGAAGTACCATTATTTAGTGTGAAATTCTTCAAGACCATTAACAAAAGATAAGGTAATAAGGCAATCATGCCCTGAAGGTAAAAATATTGGATGAAAATTTAATACCATCTTTTCACCAGTCATTTATATTGGAAATAATTTTCTTTTTTGGATTGTACATACATAGTTGTATGTATAGATTTTACACATGTACCTCAGGTATGCCATTTAATAACTTACTCTTGTAAGATCCTGTTTGTATATTTATAACAGTTTTATTTTTCTACTGTCATAAAATAATATTTGAAGGAGTTGAATATCAAGGTATGTAAAGTTTTATTTCGTTAGCACTGTGAAAAATGCAAATGATTAGATCTTTACCAGAGATAAGTATTTTGTCCTGCCATGTTCAAAATATAATTTGTTTGTATCTGTCAATTTTGAGTGAAAATTCAGGATCTAGACAAAATGGAAAAGTAAACTGTTTTTGTGATTAATCCACAGGTTTTTTAATTGCTTTGATTTAATGCAGAGGGTGTGAATGATCATTCTTATTTCTATGTATGTAAAACAGTCACAGTTTACTTAAGGAGACAATATATAAGCTGCGTCACGAAAAAACCAACATAATGTGTTTGCGACCAGCATGGATCCAGACCAGCCTGCGCAGTCTGATCAGGATCCATGCTGTTCGCTATCAGTTTCTCTACTTGTAATAGGGTTTGTAAGGGAACAGCATGGATCCTGATCAGACTGCACGGATGCGCAGGCTGGTCTGGATCCATGCTGGTCACAAAACACACTACGTTGGTTTTGTCATGACGCGGTTCAATTATAAGCAGTCAGCCAGTTCTGTTGGTATCCTGACAGTCCTTTGTTGAAGTCCCAGTATGTCTGACCATTTTCCTAAAATTGTAAAATAAAGTTTTTCTAAGCATTGATGTTTAGCCATCATCCTAAAAGGTCAAGGTCAAAGTATAGTAATATACGGTAGGTACCAAGACCAAAGGAAATGTCTGCAAGGTCCCTGGGTCCTGGATTATAAAAACATTATTGTGTAAGCTGATTAACTCAGATGTAGATATTTGATTGGTCAGAAGGACAATGAGTACTGACCAATGAAAATCATGACAAGTCTGAGACAGATCTCAGAATGAAAGTTAAACAACCTTAGATCTAGGTTCAATATTCATGCTACTAATTATGGCTTGTCAGTGGTTGCAAGGGGTTTGGAGTTGGGGATGTGAAGATGGCAAACTAGTAGCAATTCTTTATAATTTTGAGAATTTTTATTGGCAGATTAACCTGTGTCATTTTAAGTTTGATTAAGTTTTAAAATTTTACTGTAGAAAATTTACCCAATGTTTAAAATGTCACTCCACTTAATATTCTTTATGACCTTTACCAGGGAATAATGAGACTAGCTCAGCATGAAGATAAATATAATTACTACTTGCAGTGTGCCTGAGTGTTGAAAATAGAAAGACAAACTTGTGGACCAGCATTTTTTAATAAGATGTAGATAAATTTGTGTTTTTTATAGCGTCAAGTCGAAATTTTTATAGCGCCAAGTCAAACAATTTTATGGCTTAATCTGATCATTATGAATGATCGATGTGAATATGTGATTGTATAGGGAAGTGAATATGTCGTAATTTATTGTGCAAGTTTAATTTTTGTATACGGATAACGTCATTTTGTGCAAAAAAATTGGTAAAATTTCGTTATGTTTTGTTAATTTTAAGTTATAAAACTTTATATATTAATATGAAAAAAACAAAAACAATAAATATAGCGTAAAAGGAGTAAAGAAGAAGTGGCTAAAGCTGTTCTAACCAATTTATTTTTTTTGAACGGCTTACTTACTCGACCTTTCATAGGCATGTGTATAGTGATTATTCGGATAGACGCAAAGTTTAAATGATTAGTAAAAATAGAGAATAACGGAATTAAAATATCAGAATATTTCGTTCCAGAACATTTTATTCTATATTCTATTTACATACATTATTCATGTGTGTTAAATAACAAGAGACATTCTATGTTACAACTATTTTTCAAATATCAACCATTATATTATGGAACCGATATTATTTTAATGGTTGATTAATTTTGTTAAAAATATTTCATATAATAAAGCATTATACCCTTTAACTTGCAGACTTTGCATAATTGATTTGTCCAGTCTTAAATTTAGAACAGTCCATTTACAGTTGAAGGGAATTCAGTATGTAATTATTTTGATTTCTTTTCTTTCAGAAGTGACCATGCGATTCTAAGGTGTTAGATTTTTTGTGAATTTGTGGCAGATTTTGGACTCCTAGAGATGGGAAAATCAATGAATCTGAACAATCTTTCACCAGAGGAGGCACAGCAGATCCTCAAGGTCATCCAGAAGGACTTTGAACTGAGACAGAAAGAAAGAGAGAGATTAAGGTTGGTAAAATTTTACTAGGTACCATAGATAGTTTGAGATAGTGAATGTTTTATATGTGAAATTTTCAGAGTTAAGACATGATGTTTCAATTATTCTGCAAACAGCACATGACTGAAGGCTGTATCCAAGCCAATAAGAACTTACGGACATTCCAAGTGAAAGCAGATAAACCTTCTCAATAAGGTCTTATGGACCGATCAAATGTTGGTAGATGAATCTCCTCAATAAGAAGATGAAACTTCCTCATAGGTTAGCAGATAGTACTTCCCAGAGAACCTGTGTATCTCCACAAGAAGGGCAGATACCAGTTATGTTCCTGAGAAAAGATCATTAACAATGATGAAATATTGAACTATTCATTTTAAATGATACTGGTTTTTGTTGATTTTTTATACCCACCCACACTCTTTAAAGTTGTAAGAGGGTTTGGTATACTGGTTTGCAGTTTTCAGTTTGCTTCTCCTTTTAACTGCTCAACCAAATTTAATAAGAATTGACAGCAATAAATTGTCATAATGTTGCTTGCACATAACTTAAAGAATTTGACCTTGACCTATAAAATTTAATGACCTTGACCCATAAAATGTAATGACCTTGACCTGAATTTGTTGATTTTTTTAAATTTTTCAGTAAAATCGAGGAAGTTGTAAATGAAGAGGAAAGTAAGACAGAGGTGTTGACGAAACAACAGAAGTTTAACGAGAATTGTTGTATCCGATGTTGCCAGACGTTTGGTTTTATCTTCAACAGGAAGCAGCTTTGTCAGTCTTGTCGTCTGTACGTCTGTAAATCGTGTGCCAGATATGATGACAATATCAAGGGTTACGTCTGCAAGGCATGTTTAACAGAATTGTAAGCATTATTTTATGTTATGCTCATAAAATGACCTAGGTTGACTATGATATTAAAGGGGAATAAATTATTTGACTAAGAAAAAAATATTTTGAAAAATTGTTGAATTTATGTAATGCAACAGTCAATCATAACTTCTTGAAGGCTGCCCTATCACCAACATTAGCTTTAGGGTGTAGGGCTCAAATCAGTCAAGTTTTTATTTTTGCTAGAACCAGCACTGCCAGGTCAGATCAATAATGGTTTTGTTTTGATGACAAAATATCCAGATATATACTTAAATAGAATAGCATATAGCTTGGATTTTAGATTCCAAGTATCTTTGCAGGTTGGGTTCTTTGTTCTTTTTTGTTTGGAGTGATTAAGACTGCTTGTCTCTTCTTTCCTTGTTGTGACTGGTTAATTATTTTCGCTATAGAAACAAGGAAATGCTAAGCAAATGCGAGAATTAACTTAGCTGTGCATGTATATATATATATTGACATTAATCTTTCTAGCTATTAATTGGAGGGTTGAATAAAATAACTAAGGTGAATGTACCACTATAAAGCTATATATGCGGTGTGGTATTTAATATAATAGGTTCTGCCACCACATTCTGGTAATTACTCGAGTGCTTTTATGGAAAATTTCTCTCAGAAAATGTCAAACACTGACTAATATTTGCTGTAGAATTATTATTTTATACAGTGAGGAAGGTTTGAAGGTTATTTTACATGTAGTACAGCAACAGTATTGGATTGTGTTACATTGTTTCAGGAAATAGAAATGTTAGGCCAATAGTGAAACTATTATCAGTGAATGTATTTTATGCTTATAACCCCAAGCCTTTTAGAATGAAAACAAAAATTAATGTGGTGACACTATGAGAAAATTTTGGAAAATTTCACAGACCTATTTAAACATTTACTTTTTTTCGGTGCATGATAAAACACATTTATAGATACTTATTTTCGTATAAAGCTACATATGTCTAAAACATTGATCTGGTTAGGGGAATTGTTCATATATTTAAGAGGTGGTGGGATGGGGGATCTGGAAATTTAGGGAAATTTACTCAGTTGTGAAAAGCATTTAAATATTTTGAAGTTTTTAATACTCCAGGCTGCTCAATTTAATTGTGTAATTGTTTTTAATTTTGACCCCTTTAAGTTACAATGGGCAGTTCCAGATTTAGAGCAGGGCTAGTCCATTATATAAAATCAGGTGATCTGGATACACACAGACTCAAATCTGAACAAAAAACTTTACACATGTATATACAAACTGATGTATTGCATCCTACACAAAGTATAATGTTTCTACTATCAAGTGAAATATGTTCTATATTTAATTAAGGTCATACACCAACAGATGTTTGAAATTAATTGATATTGGAGATATATCAGTTTATATGTTTATTGTAACAAAAGCTTTGAGAAATCTGTTACATTTTTAGCTATGAGAAATAGATATGTGTATCAAATCAAGCTTTTTAGGAGAGATCAAGTGACAATTATTATTAAGTTGGTGCTTTACTAAAATAGTATTTTAAGTAAGCATGTTATGAAATGAAACAAACTCATACATGTACATAGACTAATACTGCAAAGAAGGGCATAAGAGTTGTTTCCCTTAGATTATAGTGAAAGTACATGAAATCACATTTGGCTAATCATTATAAACCTTTACCATATCAAATATTATAAAACCCTTACCATACCAAAGATTCTTTTTTAAATTGACATATTTACTTTTTAAATATATTAATATATGTAAAAACTCTTGAAAAAATTAAAAAACAGTATGGAAATCTGCTTATCCATATTTATCGATACTCACTTATCTACAACATATTCAGATTAAGATTTTTTACGTTGACAAAGAAAACATCTTTAGAGGTCATTTTTAAAATGAGGTCACGGTTCATCATTTTGTCATGCCAGCCGTCAAATGAAATAAATTATTTGGGTGGGGGGGGATTTAAAATGGCAAAGTATATTTTGTTCAAAACAAACTTGCTATTGTTTGTTTTTGTTTTTCAGGGAACTGAAACAGAAATCTGGCGACTGGTTTTACAACAATGTTAGCAGGAAGTATAAGAGATTTGGTAGTGCGAAGGTTGTGAGGACCTTATATAAACATGCTGACGGGACACGGCACTCAAAGTTCCATTGTAAGTATTTTAGCAGTTATTGCAAGTTTGCAACCCTGTTATAACGTGTACTTATGACGTCATTGAGTTATGCAAATGTGAAGGGTCATTTGCAATGTGAAAGGTCATTTGAAACCTTTGCTTTAATGTGTACTGTCATGAGTTATGTCAGAGGCATCTTGAATCTTTTTGATATTATGTTGTTGTTTTATTTAGATTTGAATGTTATAATTAGGTTTGGCATGTGATACCTTGCAAAAACTCTAATGCAAACATACAATTATATACTCAAGAGTAGAATTTAATAACAAAAAAATCATTTTAAGATTTAAAATTTTGTTTGTTGTATGTGGAAACTGATTTTATAATTGGCTTACATTTTGTATGCATGCTATGAATTATGAATCTTCTGCTATATGTTATTGTATTAAAGCTGCATGCCTCAAGATGAGCCAAAATATTTCCAGAAAATCAAACTTGAGAAACATGTGCTAAGATTTAAAGCAAAGTTAAAAATTCAAATTATAGTTTAAATGTTATGTGCGATTAAAGACTGATTTTGCAGTATTTATCTTTATATCTCTACTTTCTACTGCATTGCTAACATAGTAAGGGTTATATTTGCATATTTTGACCTTTTTCTAATGCTGATTGCAATATGTAAATTACTTTCTTTGTTCACTTCACAATATTTTTACTTTTAAATACATTTTCAAATTTTTCATGAAAATCTGGAGGTGTGCTGCTTTAATAAGTAAATTGATGAAAGTTAGTTTTTGCTACATGTACAATTGATAAACATGTTAGTATATATTTCTTTGACCATTACACAGCATTGATTAATGTACAAAAAAAGTAATAGGTTTGTCCTGTTTTGAATCCGGTACTACTGTCCCTGAGAAGTTCTAATTGATTATTTTAAGTATTCAGCATCAGACTAAACAAACATGGAAGTCTTTCTTTCCCTAGCATCAAGTAAACCTACTTGCTTTATTTTATTGAGAACTCGAAAACAACATTTGAGCCGCGTCACGACAAAACCAACAAAACCAACGTAATGCGTTTGCGACCAGCATGGATCCAGACCAGGCTGCGCATCCGCGCAGTCTGATCAGGATCCATGCTGTTGGCTTACCAACCCTATTACAAGTAGAGAAACTGATAGCGAACAGCATGAATCCTGATCAGACTGCGCGGATGCGCAGGCTGGTCTGGATCCATGCTGTTCGCAAACGCATTATGTTGGTTTTGTCATGACACGGCTCATTTTAAGCTTGTAACTGTTTTAGAAGAAAAAAAAGGAACTGCTTAGTTGACTTTATGCTGGTCGACATACCAGATAACCTAGAAAGTTTCAATGACCTTGACACCCGTAACCTGTGGAAACTGAAGTTGATTTACAATTGCCATTGGTAACGAGCCAGGCAAAATCCAGTCTGACCAGGCTCTACTCTGTTGATCTAATAATAACTTTTAATTTTCACCTTGATATTGCCCAAAAAAATTTTGCAGGACAGTCCCAAAAAAAATGGATATTACATCATTTAAAGTCCATATAAAAATCTGTCTGTTCAGAAAAATTGTTAATAGTATGACTTAGTTTAAACCTATTTATTTAAGCACTTGCAACTTGCAACTTATATTTATCACTTTCGAGTCCGCTTCCTTGAACAAACTAGTACCGTGGTGTCATATAAAGACTTAAACAGTATGACTAATAAAACAAAATGTCAAAGTGACTGTGTGGGCTTCAAGCTTTGTTCTTGAGTACAGGACTTTGTAGTGATAGAAGATACATATTAAAGCTTCCTTGAAAAGGAGAATGAACATATTTTTACCACTGCAGTATTCATAGTCGGTTAAAAAAAAGATTAATAGCTTGTTAAACGGACATTCTTTATATCTGGCAACTGTTAGATAGGCAAGGAATTTGTGATAATAGAACATGAGGAAAGGTCGTAAACATTTGATAACTTTCTGTCAAAACATTTGCCAATACATTATAATAGATGGTGGATTTATATGAGTGTATATGGGAGTATTGAAGGGGGAATGTCTGTATAGTTTTTCTAGGATTATAATAATATGGTCATGAATGGGAAATGTAAAGGTAAATTTTGCTGTGGTGTTTTTCACTGCCTATAAATGGTATTAAGTATATGTCATAAAAATCTGGTAATAAAGAATTGGTGTGAGACACAACAAAGTATGTTAACTTAGATGTATTCATTACATGTATTATGTTTTCTATGTAGAATGACTTCATTGGGTCAGAAAAAAAGTTGTTGGTTTTACTTTGAAATGAAAATTTTCTCTAGAAAACATATTTTTTTTTTTTTTAACTTTTGATATGCATAATAAATTAATGTGAAAAAGGACACATGAAGATGGCCTAGTCTACCAAGGTGCCTGGCTTTGCTATAAATAATTAACACTTTGTATTCTGATAAAGTTTTTAACAGACCTGCGCTACAAGACAACCTGCTAGCCTGTCTTCAGTCTGTGTTGCTGAACAGAAGGGCTGTTTTTGCTGAGGTTACACTGTATTTACTTTTCCCAACATGGTAAGGGCATCAGCTTGTAAGAAATAGCTGTTATCCGGAACTTGACAAATGTCGGTTTTCCCAAGTTTTAAATCCCTCGGTACAAACAAACTTTTTACGTTAAGCTTCACTGTGCATGAGTACTGGTCACAATAGATTAGTCAACTTGTTGCACTTATTCTCAAAGTTGTAACTGAAAACCGGAATATTCTTAATTCCGAAGTATTAATTTGAAAGGTTGACATTTATACTGATATTAAATCATTATCAAAATCCATTGCCAGTATTATTAAGTGAAAGGTAAACTTAGCACCTATTTATTATATTTGAAAACTCTCTTAACATTATTTGGATTATTGCATGTCATGAGTCGAAAGTTTTATGTACATTTCCTTGTCTGTAATACATATTTGAAGAGCTGTCATTGTTAGAAATGATATTGATGTATCAATGATATTTTTCTTTTGATCAATAATTGATGCTTATTTTAGAAAATTGATAATTTTGACATACTAATTGAATGCCTAGAAGTTACAAAAGTCACGCGAAACATAAAACAGAAGCAATTTTCAAAGCAGTGGTGACAAAAAAAGGTCGGCAAAAATCATGCAATCGGCATTAATATATAAAAGACACATCGATGAAAAGAACATGATTTTACTGAAAGCATTTAAACAGAATAACAGGCAAGTAATTAATACTTAAGGTAAATAATTATCAATATTTATTGGTGTATCATCGATATTGGTAGTCTGATAATTGATATATAGTTGATTTGCTTTGCACTGAATCAATGACAGCTCTACAAATTTGTTCTTTGTTACCTAATAACCTCTTGCTCTTTCTTAATATATAAAAATGAAAAGCACCAAGGGCGTTTCTACATGAGCTATGCAGCGTAATACTTTAAATTTCTATGACATGTTTAACTAGATGTGATTTCAATTGAAAATGCATGATTTAAATTCCTGTGTAAACCTTAGACATGATTTACTTACTTTAAGTTATATGTGTTATATATATTTATATATATTTTTGTGTGTCAAAAGATCAAAATCTTTGGTGCATTTAGTACATTTATCTTATAGATAAAATAGACATACTAATATGTTGAAAAGAAATCTCATGTTTAAAAGAGTTGCATATGTGCTAAAATCCATAGAATAAAGGGATTAATGTAAGAAGCAATCCCTACTCTGCAAATTTTGTGAAAGGAAAAAAAGGGGTTTCGTGTGGGAGAAAATCTCTAGTTTGAAGGTTTTAATGTAAGGAAAAAAAACCTAATCTTAAGGGTTTCATGTAAGGGTAAATCCCTAGTCTGAAGGGTTTTATGTAAGAAAAAAATCCCTAGTCTGAAGGGTTTTATGTAAGAGAGAATCCCTAGTCTAAAGGGATTTATGTAAGAGTAAATCCCTAGTCTGAAGGGTTTTATGTAAGAGAAAATCTCTAGTCTGAAGGGTTTATGTAAGATAAAAAAAAATCCCTAGTCTGAAAGGTTTTATGTAAGAGAAAATCCCTAGTCTGAAGGGTTTTGTGTAAGAGAAAATCCCTAGTCTGAAGGGTTTTATGTAAGATAAAAATCCCTAGTCTGAAGGGTTTTATGCAAGAGAAAATCCCTAGTCTGAAGGGTTTTTATGTAAGAGAAATCCCAAGTCTGAAGCATTTCATATAAGAGAGAATCCCTAGTCTGAAGGGTTTTATGTAAGATAAAAATTCCTAGTCTGAAGGGTTTCATATAAGAGAGAATCCCTAGTCTGAAAGGTGTCATGTAAGAAAAAAATCCCTTGTCTGAAGTTTTTCATGTAAGAGAAAATCCCTAGTTTGTAGAAGGGTTTCATGTAAGAGAAAATCCCTGGTATGGAGGGTTTCATGAAAGAGAAAAATCCCTAGTCTGAAGTTTTTCATGTAAGAGAAAATCCCTAATCAAGAAAAAGGATTCTTTAAAAGGGTTTCAGGTTTAAAGATCTGTAGTTTAGATTAAAGGGATTTAATGTATAAAAGGATTGACCAAACTCATTCTAGACTTATTTTTGATGTCATCACTTCCATAAAAATAAACAATAATTGAAAATTGTTTGTTTATTGATTATAATTATTTGTTGATTATTAATTTTGATAAAATCATATAATACCTTCATATTTAATATATTTAGGGGTGGGGGGAGAAAACTTTTGATGAATAAGTTGCTTTCTTTTCACATACTTGTTTTTTGTGTTTTTTTTCTAAATTCATTAATTGTCTTTTGAACATATAACACTGATTTTATAAAGGGTCTAAAACTGATTTTAAAAATTACAGGTAAAACAATTTCCGTTATGTAGCTACACTTAAGTGGGTGAAAGTCATACTGGGTAAATGGTGGCAAATTTGTGTATTTTAGGATTTAAATTGAGACAAGATTGTGGGTAAAAAAAAAAGTGAAAAATATTTTAACTTTATGAAGAGTATTATTGATTCACCTTGGGTTTATAATATTT